GACAAGTTGCTGTCGTTTTGTTCTTCAGTCTAGTTGTTCAGCATCTTAGCTGCAGAGGGCAGTGTCACTGGCCCTCATATGTGGGATCCGAACCGAGGCCCTCTGGCGTCCCAAGCCAGCTCTTAACCATCGCACCACTCAGCCGGCCCCACTGAATGAGTCTTAAGAAACCAGATAGATGGCAAGGTGGGTGATACCTGGGGGCAGTGTACAGCCCACTAAGCACACTGCCTGCTGCTCCCTAGCATTGCTAAACATCCCATTCACCCTTCAGTACTGATTAATGGTTTTATCCTGTCTCCCCCTCCCCCAGTGGGATCACCCACAAGCTGGCTAAACCCCAGGAGAAGAAAGGAGTTCAATCCTGGATTTCCCCCAGGGCTGTGGGAAGTTATAGTAGCTTCTCTATCTGTTAAAGGTCTTGGCATTCCCGTCCTAGCTCAGCTTCAAGAGGGTATTGTAAGAAATGAGGTAGAAACGACTCCTTCAAAACACTGTACAAAGTAATTCAATTTTTATTGAGGTCTTTATATGCCAGAAACTGACCATGCAGAGCCATAAGGCACGGTCCCTGCCCTTGAGGAGCTCACAGTCTAGTAAGGAAGATGGACACTGAAACAATTCCCACAAAGATGGAGGGGCAGGGCCAGCAGCCATCAGGGGAAGGAACTATTATCCCACTCTGCCCCCCCATATTCCAGGATGGCTATGAGAAAACGAATAGGAAGCTCCCACCGTCCCTGGGACAGCTCTGCCTTCTCTCTGTCCTGGCACCACGAGGAGACAAGGGACAGACAAAAATGAGGGAAACACATTGGCTGCCCTTAAAAAGCTAGAACACCCCGGCAGGATATATACAATGGTAACTTGATTTCCTGAAGCCGCAAACCAGTGCAGCAGAAGCTGGGGATGCCGGGGGAGATTGGAAGAACAGGCACTGGGCCAGCCCAGTCCAGTGGTGGGAAAGGGAAGCGAGGGTACCCAGGACCAGGGAAGTAGGGAAAAAGGGAGGTTTCCAGGTGGAGCTCATAGTAGGGTGCCAGCAGCCACAGCCAACAGAAGAGCCGCCAACCCGGCCAAGGGAGCTGCAGAGCTTTTATTATGGGGCCCAGTTTTTGTGGGGTGCTGCCCCATATTACTACGGTCCTGGTGGCCAGCAGCACCTCCAGCCAAGTGAGATTCCTCTTCCCGGGAGGTCTCAGGTTTTACTTCCTTTGGAAGAGTCTGGCTGGTTGAGGCTGGGGTGGGTTTGGTGGTAGAGGTGGGTTTGGTGGTAGAGGCGGGCATGGTTGGGGCTGGCGTGGAAGTAGTGACAGGGGTGGTTGGGGCCAGAGTGGTAGGCTGGGGAGCGGGCAGCAGGATAAGGGGTGGGATTCCAGAAGAGAAATAGGTCTTGTTGCGGAGGTCTGAGTTACAGCGGGACCCCTTGCAACAGGAGCCACTGAGTACGAATCCGGGACCTGTCACTGAATCCCGGGTGCACAACTCGTCCTTGACACAGCCCCGGACGGGCAAAGATACAGTCACATTAGCTGCAGGAGGGAGAAACAGGTAGGTCGGTGGCAAAACAGGGTAGGCACAGCTAGAATGAAACCTAGAGGCAAGAACCCCACAACAGGACAGAAGGGCTCTGCATCCATTAATCTGCATCCATTAAACCCCACTTTGCGATACACCGTCCAAGTCGTTAGCAACTGGTGGACTACACTTCCCATAGTAGTTTGAAATGGAAAACTGTACGCTGAACTGCAAGTCCCACAATGCCTTGGAAGAAAAGTTTGTACATAGATACGCCTTTCACACAACCGAACTGAAGAACGTCCCCTACAACACTCCCGTCATTTCCCACATACCTCTCCCAACACCGCCAATATTTAGCCTGAGTCAGAACTCCATCTCTCATAATATACCTGGCGGAGGATGGCGTTTGAATTTCTCCCCTCGTTCCCTGAGCCAGAGAGGTCAGGAGGCTGAACTACATCTTTCCCAACTGGTTAGGTGGGCACCCTAAAACTCTTGAGTTTTAAGGAGTTAGAACTAGATTACCCACAATGCCCAGGCAGAAGCTTGAAGATTTAAATACATTTCCCACTGCAAATCCTCCATTCTGCACTTGGCAGGCCTCTATGGAAATCTATTTCCCAAAAAAAACTCCAGGACAAAAGCATCCCTACCCTCATGCTATACTGAGGATAGGACTGAATTTCTCAGGACGCTCTAGGACAAAACTAGCACTTAGGCCTACAGCTCCCAGAATGCATTGGAGAGGGGGGAACCCTTTGGGTAAAGGGATACCTGGCGCCCAGGAGGCCTCAGAAAGACTACCACAACTCCTGTAGCCCCGTCCTCCGGGGCTCGCTCACCTGCCGTCAAGGTGACGTTGCCATCGAAACAGCCCTTGTAGAAGCTGTCGCTGGCATTGTAGCAGCTCACGACGGGTGGCGCCGTACCCTGACACGCCTCGCGGCTCAGCCCCACGCAGCTGTAGCACTCCGCACCGTTGGGCTGGTACGCACTCTCATTACCTGTGAGTAGCGGGTTGGAACGAAGGGGGTCGAGAAAGTTCTAAAAGCACATCTGTGCCCGAGGTAGCTCCAGCCCATGCCTCCACTCCCGAACTGACGCTAGCTCAGCTCTAGCCCCACCCACCACGTGACCTCGCCCACTGAACCCGCCCCTAGCGTCCAACCTCACAGGCTCCTACAGCAATGAAGTCCCGCCTGCTGCGTCTTGGCCCCGCCCCCAGCCCCTGCTGCATTCTCCCGCGTGCAGCTTGGGATCCCCACTAGTCGCTCAGCCCCTGTGATTCCGCCCCGTGGCCTCGTGGTCTGCCCTCACCGACCTGAGGGGTTGAGAGCTCGAGTGGTGAGATTGAGCTTGGCGTTGCAGCGGTCCTGGGCGCATTGCTGCAGTTGCATGAAGGCCAGGAGCCCGTAAAGGTCCAGTCCGCGGTCATTCTTGCCAGGGAGTCCCGAGCCGCAGCCGCGCACTGCCACCGAGAATTGCCCGTGGACTGCGGAAAGGCGAGGGGGCGGGATCAGAGCAGGCGGGGCCCTCAGAAAGAGCTGATCAGAGGAAAGAACCGCAGATGGAGGAGAAAGAACTTCAAAAAGCTGAGTCGGAGGGCTGCCAGGCTGACAGACACTGGGCAGAATCCAAAGGGAGGGCCATAAAAGGGAGGAACCGCAGAAAGCAACATCAGAAGGAACTGAAAGACTGACCGAAAAGGCACGGGATCGGAGAGGGATGGGACCTCCTGGGAGCGTGATTCCTCAGAGGGTGGGTCAGGGTCGGAGCCTCAGCCTAGGGAACCTAGGATTCTAAGGGAATCTCCATCACCAAGGGCCCCATTGGATAGGGGAGGCTGGGTTGGGGAGAAGATTCTGGCAGGGACAGAGGGAGTAGGGAGCGGAAATGGATAAGGTGTGCCCTCGAAGGGGACGGGGTCCCAGATCCGGGCTCTCTTAATTCACCCCACCCAGTTCGCAGCTCTCAGCCCTTCACCTCTCTAAGCCCTAACGGCGTGGTTGTGTTGAAGGGCCAGGCCCGGCTGAAAAGGAAGGATGTGCTTGGAGGGGTGTGGATAAGTTCGGAGAGAGAGAAAGAGAGGCGGGACTATAAGGAGGCGGTGCCTGGCTGGAGGAGCTTTAAGGGGTGGGCGAGCATGCTCCGAGGGGTCGTACTCACTAGTCTCCACCGCTCCCACTGCCTCTGTACAGACTTCCACGCCCTGAGCGCACTTCACGGTCTTGGTCTTCTGCGGAGAGCATCCGTCATCTGCTTTCTGCACGCAGCTGTAGCACTCTAGGGCCTGCGCTCCTGGGGGTGCAGGGTCGCTTACAATCAGTGACTCCGACTGAAGCCTCCCTCGCGCCCCCAAAGGAGAAATAGTCCTACCCACAACTTCTGTCTCGGTAATGAGACAATCCTACTGCACACCCTTTTTCAAGGTAGGAATAAGGAAAACATTCCCACTCAAATCTGTGGTCATGGGATACACTGTGTCCCTTTCCCTCAAGCCCTCAAGCCCCCTATGCCCACAGTGGGAGCATTTTTCCAACAGCACCTTATGCTCAAGGTAGGGAATCCCAGCAGTGGAACCCGGGAGGGAACTCAGCCATGGATGGGGGCACTTTCCCATAGTTCTCTGCTCAGGATAAGAGAACTTTTCCCATATTTGGGTAGGTTCAGTGAGGAATCCCTTCCCACAAGCCCTCTCTGACCAGGGCAGGAAATTTTCCCACAGTCCCCCTCGGCTCAGGATGGAAGGACTTTTCCCATAGCCCCCCGCCCCCCGCCCCACTCAGGGCAGGAATCCTTCCCACTGTCCCCTCTGCCCAGGACGGGGGACCTATCCCACAGCCCCCCTCTGACCAGGGCAGATGATCTTTCCCACAGCCCCTCTGCTCAGGATGCGGACATTCTTCCCACAACCATCTCTGTAGGAGGTGAGGAGACCCTCCTCCCTAGAGCCCTCACTACCCGTTCTGCCTCCTCCCAGTAGCAGACCCACCTTCCCAAAGCAACAGAGGCAGCAACAACAGCAGGAGCCATCCTGTAGTCCAGATCACGGCTGGGGCGCCTGCTTTCCTGGCGGGGTCCATGGTTAGATCCTACTCCCTCGGCGTCCCCCCTAGGTGTGCCGCCTCCCAACCCAGGCCCTCTTACCTGAGCCCAGGATGAGTAACTTGCCCCCAGGCAACCCTGGCCTTGCCCAACCGGGCCAAATCAGCGTCCGCTGTGGGGCGGGACACCCGCCCCTGGGTGCGTCACCCACAGCTGCCGAGGAGGAAAATGGCGGGAGTCCAGGTTCCCTTATAGTTCTCAGGGGAGTCTGTATGTTTGGGGGTTAGAGGGGAAGAGTACTGAGATTCAGAGAAGGGTCTACTCAACACTGGGCACTTGCTAAATATTTAATGAGCACCTACAGTATGCGGGCTTTGGTCTGGGTGATGTGGAGGTTAAGACAGAACCAGCGCCTCACAGAGCTCACAGTCTGATGGGAAGACAAATATTCATCAAATAATCATATAAATTGTTATTTACAATGAGGACAATGCAGGAAGAAGTGTAGGAAGCTATGAGGAAGTGTGGAGTCTAAAAGTGAGGGCTGGTCAGTGAAGCTTCCTTAAAGATATAATTCATTGGAGCTGTGATCTCAAAGACATGGAGAATTTAGCTGGTGAAGCAAAGCAGGTCCGGGTGAGAGCAGCACGTGCAAAGACCTAGAGATGGGAAATAACATGGAACATTCAAATTCAGAGAGGACAGCAGTGCACGTGGAGTTCAGAGGGTGAGGGGGAAAGGGTGGAAACTGAAGCAGAAGTGCCAGGAAGGGGTCAGAACCATTCAGGGCATTACAGGGATTTGAGAAGGGATTTGAATTGATTCTGAGAAAGGTGAAGAACCTTGGAGCGTCTCAGTCGGCTGGGGACATGACCAGATTTGCTTTCTAATATGATCAATCTGGGAAATAACGCACATATTCATCAAGAAGTGAATGGAAAAAGAGTGGCCCTGTGGAATACTACACCGCAATGAAAAAGGGCCAGCTACTGGCCTCAGCAACATGCATGAATCTCAAAAACTTCATGTCAAGCTCAAGAAGCCTAAACAAATAAAACATACCATGTAACACCATATATGAAGTTCTAGAACAGACAAAACTGATCAGTGGTGATAGAAATCTCTGCAGGAGTTACCTTTGGCTGGGCCTGGCCCCAAAGGAGCTATGGTGAGGAGTCCCCACTATCTTCACCTGGGTGGTAGTTACAGGTGTGTACAAACATCTAAATAATCAGTAAGCTGTATACGTATGCACTTCACTGCAGGCACATTATTCTTTTAAAAGAAAGGGACAAATGTTACTGTGGCCCCTGTAAAAAGGAAGACTCTAGAAGGAGTGAGAGAGAAAGCCAGTCCAGTGAGGGAGCTGAGCAGTCATCCAGGTAAGAAAGGGAGAAGGAGCCGGCCAGGAGTTGGCCTGGCACTCAGAGTGAGGCCGTGGTGTTCTGTGACACACCCACACAGAACACCAACATCAGACAGGGCCACACTGTGACCGGGATGGAGCGAGACATAATGAGGACCCCTGCATCGCCATGTCTGAACACAGAAACTAACAAGAGCACTGTGCAAACCACAAAATGACTAAGCATCCCCATATCGTGGCTAATATAGTGACTATGTTATATTTATTAATTATATTTATTATTTATTTATTTATATATTTATATTATATTATAATGGCAAAGTTACAGATTTCATCTTGCTTTGCTTCTCCTGGCTCATAGATAAGATTTATCTATGGCAGGAAAAATAGCGGCTATGTTCTTAAAGATATTATCTGTTACTCAGACCCTGTTGGGCACTCCCATTCACAATGATGACTAGCACCTCAGTCACATAGGTGGGATCACTTGGCATCACGCAGAGAGAGAAAGTGAACGACTGCTTGTGAGGTCATTCGGTGTTGGCCCCCACCTCCCTGCCTCCTAGCTTTGGAATCCCAGCCCCACTTATGGTTTGCCGTGTGTCCCTGCATGTCACCTCTCTGAGCTTCTGAGGTGTCTGTTTTATAATAAAGGAAGGAGTGACTTTAATGGTGCAGTGAGGCAGTGAGCAAAGTATCAAGTCTGCCATTTTAATCCTGCCTCTGCCATCCTCTTGCTGTGTGACCTCAAACAACTGTGTCTCCCTCTCTGAACTTCAGCTGCCTCCTTTGCCAAATGGGTCCGAAAACCCCTATTTCCTGAGGGATGGAGTGAGGCTGGGTGATAATACTATTGTTACTGTGTGTTTAGAAGCAGGAGGCCCTGCAGGCCCCAGCCGCGTGGGAGAGTTTCAGGGAGGAACCCCAACTAGCCAGACCAGAAGAACTAGCATCTTGGGAGGGAATGGGACCCAGGGTGGGGAGTCTCCTCTTGCTCAGGCCTGCCCGGATCCTGGGCGCTGACCCCCACCTGGCCTCAGACCAAACAGCAGAGGGAGGTTTGAATGTGGGGCCTCTGTTTACACCTGCTCAGTAACTCTTCCCAGCTCCTATCTGCAGAAGTTACTGCAAATAGATTTAGAATCTGGTTCCCCAGAGAAACAAGCAGAGGGGCCAGTGTGGAGGCGGTCCCTAGCCCTGAAGGTCACTCCAGGGCGTCAGACAAGCCTGGGGCCATATCCACTGTGGGTTTCCTGTCCCCTGGGCCAGAACAGGCTCTTGGTCCAGTGATGTTCCCAGCCTGTCTCAGACCCACACCCTCTGGGATGTACCGTCTGGGATGTGTCAGAGAAGGGGTGGGGTCAGGGGCCAGCTACATAATTTGCAAGGCTCAGTGCAAAATGAAAACATGGGAACCCAGTTAAGAAGGCAGGAAAGAGTGCCGTTAAATGTACTAAAATAGAACCACTTTATTTATTTATTTATTTATTAGATTTTATTGGGGAATTAGGGGAGGGGAACAGTGTTAGGGAATTGGGGAAGGGGAACAGACAAGTTGCTGTCCTTTTGTTCTTCAGTCTAGCTGTGGAGGACATCACTTTACTGGCCCATGTTGGTATTGTGATCATTACGCTCTTCCCGGGTGAGGCAGATGGGTCGCCTCTGGAAGGCAGCTCACGCTGGCTGCTGGCCACTCACGGTAGCTTGCGGCAGCTCACTGCAGCTCCACTGCAGCCTACACTGTCGCTGGCGACTCACGGCAGCCCGGCTCCAGATTGAGCTGTTGTTCACCATCTTAGCTGTAGAGGGCGCAGCATCACTGGCCCTAATGTGGGATCTGAACCAGGGCCCTACTGCTCAAAGCTGGTGTCCCAAGCCAACTCTTAACCAACACGCCACTCAGCCATCCCCACATTTTTTCTTTATTCTGCCATCTCTCTCGACCCCTCATGGTGTTCAATGTCACATTCGCTTGGGCACAGGGATACTTCTGGGACGAGCACAGACCCTTACAGGTGTCTAGAGACCTTGCCCCACAACTAAAGCAACCTGGTTGCTGGGTTCCCCTTCCACCAGCTTCCCACTGCCATACTCCACCCCAAGATGCCATGAGGTACAAGTAAGTGCCTGACCCTGAGCTTCCTGTGGGCACCCAGGCCCTGTCAAAGCTAGAGGATGGTAGTGGTCACAGGGCAGGGCAGGGAGGGGAAGCAGACAGAACTTGTCCTAAGGAGGTGGGAGGTAGGACCTTGTGTAAGGTCCCCCCCAGCTCATGTTCCACATCCCTTCAGACTTCACTTAAAAAACACAAATTCAAATACAAAATTAAAAATTTCCAGACGGCGATTACAGAGCATTAAATTCAGAGGGCTCTTCTGAGCACAGGGACTTGTCAACTGCACTGGTCACATGCCATGAAGCTGGCCCCAGTAAGAGCTCAGTTTGCAGAGGGGCTGGGGAAATTGACCCAAGAAGGCAGATGTCTCACATCTGGAGGTGGTCAAAGGATACCTGGGGTCCCTGAGGGCCTGGGGACTAGGGTGTCTGCATTCCTGAGACTCATGAGTAGCATATCTGGATCTTCAAGGAATCCTGGGACAGGACAGACAGGGCACCCAGGTCTTCAGGAGATGGAAACCAGAGGAACTGAATGCCGTGTTCTAGGGAGGTTTGAGGCAGGAAAAGACCATTCTCCACACAGTGATGGCCTAGAGTAGCGGTTCTCAACCTTCCTAATGCCACGACCCCTTAATACAGTTCCTCATGTTGTGGTGACCCCCAACCATAAAATTACTTTCGTTGCTACTCGATAACTGTAATTTTGCTACTGTTGTGAATTGTAATATAAATATCTTTTTGTTTTCCGATGGTCTTAGGCGACTCCTGCTAAAGGGTCATTCAACCCCCAAAGGGGTCGCGACCCACAGGTTGAGAACCGCTGGCCTAGAGGGTCAGGGCTGTAGTAGGGGAGCCCAGGGGACTGCAGAATCCCAAAATAGGCACCTGACCCAGCCCACTGAGCTGGGAGAGCTTCTTGAAGGAGGGGACAGCTTGGGTGAAGAGTTTTATGTCTGCCTTGTACACCACTGTCCCCCGGCCTCAACATCTTTTCCTCAATTCATTCAACCATCAGACTTGCCCTCAACACCCAGTTTGCACTAGGCCCTTTGCTGTGCGTCAAGGACTCAGTAGTGACGTAAACAGCCCCAGTCCCTGTCTCCGAGACACACTCATCAGCAGTGATGAACTGTCAAAAGGCGGTGATGAGTGATCAGGGCTGGGTCGGGAAGCCCAGAAGCATCAGGCTCAGCCAGGAGAATCAGGGAAAGGCTTCTTGGAGAAGGAACCATCTAAGATCTAAATGATGAGTAGGAGTTGGTGAAGTAGGGAAAGGTGCCTAAGCAAAGGAACAATATGTACAAAGACTGAGAGGTGAAAGGGAAGCTTTCTTTTGTTTTTCACTTTCATGAAATGAAACGTGTCCTGTGGTATTGGAGACACAGCAGTGACCAGGACAGCCCTGGCTCTGCCCTCATGAAGCTGCCAGTTATAAGGACAGATGCCTCACCCGTGATGACCCAGGGTGTTCAGAGATGGGACAGGGGAGCTCAATGGTGGGTGCCTGACTCGGCCAGGGGGAGTCAGGGAGGGCTTCCCAACTAAAGAATGAGGGGCTAGCTGGTTAAGGGCAGGGTAGAGGGAATAACATATGCCAAGGCCTGGAAGGCAAGAGCTTAGGCGTTCCTAGAAATTGCCAAGAGCCCAGTCAAATCAAAAAAGGTGGAAATAGGTGGGCCCACAAAGTAAAAACACAAAATTGCCAAAGGCTAAGGACACATGCCTCCCTCCACCCCTCCCAGCAGTGACCTTAAGAGACGAAGGCCTCTATCCTTAAGAAGGGGAGGATCGGCTGTGAGAAAGCTGGCTCTCAGAGTTACCCATAACTCGGACGTCCTGCCTAAGAGCCAAGGGGCCTGGCAGCCTGGGATGGAAACCACAGCAACTAGTTTGTCCTCCATGTTTAATTCGGTATCACAGGAGCACCAATAAATAGTTCCTTCCCGCCCCCGCTCCTGAGTAGGGCCCCAGGGGCTGGCATCCAGTCGGAGGAAAGCACCTGCAGCACAGCACGCCACGGCTCGGGCCAGCCGAGCGGCGCAGGTTCTGCAGAATTGCCGCGTTCCAAAGAGGCGGGCCCAGGCTTTCCGGCAGTGGGCGGGCCCAAATGGGTGGGGCCGCTCAGGGGGCGTGGTTTTCCTCAGCCGCAGTCACAATGACAACCATCCAAATGCGCATGGCCTCGGGGTTCGGCGCCACCATGTAGAAAAGGCGTTCATAGGTTTTGACGCAGAACGTCAGACGAGGGTTGGGGCTCTGAAATAAGCGGTGGAATAGAAGTGGTTAAGAGAACATAGGGGTTCGAATCCCAACCTTGCTACTTATACAGGCTGTGTGGCATTGGACAAGTAACTTAGACTCTCTGAATGTTTCCCCATCTGTCTACCTAAATTATGCTACCTAGCTCATTGGGTTATGAGGATTAAACGAATTAACACAAGGGTCTTAGGCTTTGGGGAGCAAGAGGAATTTTAAAGGCAGACCCATGTTCCCTTTCCCCAGCCTACCTTCTCCTATATTAGAAATCTAAGCCTTCAAATTTCCCCTCTCCAAAATGTAGCTTTCCCCGGTTTGTAGCTGGGGAACTCTAGAGTCTACAGCCCATTTATTGAGTACTTACTTGCCAAGCCTGAATTCAGTAAATCCCTTACATCTATTATCTGTCCTTAACCTTCTCAACTCTGAGGAAATTGGTTTGAATTGTGCCTATTTTGCGGTTAAGAAAACTAAGGCTGGCGAAATGAAGTCACTTTCCTGATGTCTCAGCTGGTTGCTCTCCACAGCTTTTTCTAAACACTGGACCAGTTGCCAAAATTTAAACGTCTGGCACTGCACTGTTATAAAATTTCCAGTTCCTGAGTCCACTAGGGAAAAATAAATATGATGCTACTTGGGGCCCATTCCCATTTGGTAATTATGGGCAGAAACTGGAACCATCGTCTCCTCTAGATGTTCCCAGGATGCCACAGCCCTCACCCTGCCCTCTTCATTTGTTTATTCCCAGCTTGGCATCAGAGTTTGCCAAATTTTTGCTCTAAATCTTTTGCTCCAAGAGCAGTTAACAGTGGCTAAGAGCCAGAGACTGAGCTCTTAATATTTTGATCCATGCATTAAAATGATCTTTTGGTCCCCATGCTGGATGGAGTACCCTGCAGGGATTGTGCATGGCCTTTCCTGGGGACAAGCTAAAGCTTCACTGTGGGGCTCTGACCAAAAGGACAGGACAGCACGGGGGGGGGGGGGGGGGCTTCACCTTAAAGGCACAGCGTAGGTGGTCATAATAGACTTCCTCAATAGCCTGGAAGTAGATGACGCCTTTGAGCTTGGTCTCTTCTTTGTCTGATGGGGGAAGTAAAGAAGAAACAGAGCCAGTGAGATGTGTGTGTGTCTCAGTGCAGGGCTGGGGGCACTGGACCCTAGTCCCGAGACTGGGGCTGGGGTGAGGAATATGGTGAAAGTCTGAAGGTTCTTAAAGTACTATGGTGGGGAGGTGAGTGAGTGTTGATGCTAAATGGGAGACTGACTGGTGTGGAGCCTGGACAAGGCTGGGGGATGGGGTTGGAATCCCAGGTTCCCACACGGCTTGGTCTTTGAGAAGGGATGGGACTCAGAGAGAGGTCAGAATCATGGACTCCCCTAGAGAAAAAGTGTGAGGCGCCTGGACTCCTGGGTGTTGGAGGTGGGGGAAAGCGCTGACAATGCTGGTTCTGACTCCTCCTGGTATCTTAGGCAAAGGGTGTCCGGGGAATTGTACACAACTGTTATCCATGTTACTGAGGCAAGCTGAGGGTTTAAGACTGGATCTCTAAAGGAGGAAGGGGATGGGGATTGGGACTCCTGGGTCCTGGGGGGAGAAGGAGCTGGGAGCCAAGAATCCTGGCTTGTGGAAGGGAAGGAAGGAACTGGGGGACCAAACTCCCGGATGCACGCTGGGGGACGTGAGGAGTGGGGGGGTGGGGTCTAGACTCCCGAGTCTTGAGAGAGGGAGGAGTCGGGATCCAGACTCCTGGGCCTAAGAGAGAGGGAGGGGCGGAGACTCCTCGGTGTCTGCAGGTGAGGCCTCTGGAATACTCTTCCAGGGACCCAGGGGCCCACAGCGGCCAGGCTGGGCTTACCACCATAGTAGGCCAGGCGCCGGGCCTGGCGGTCAAAGCAGAACCACCGCTTCCTCCAGGTCTTGATGCGGCCGCCCATCTTCACCAGGGGCCCACGGCAGCAGCCCCCGGACACCTGGACATGCGGGCAGTTTTCCGGGTTGTGGCCCCAGCGTTCCAGGTGCTGCCTGAGATCCAGGATGCGAGGACCAGGAGGGCAGGGTGGGGGCACGGGTGTGGGCGGGGCCTTGGAGGGAAGAGAAGGGGACAGCTGACTGCATAGGGTCAGGAGGGCAGCCTGCCTCCTGGAGCCCCCAGGGGAGCCGCTCGGACACAACAGCTCACGTGGAAGGCCTGCCACAGCCTTTGAAGAGATGAGCAAACTGAGGTACAGAGAGATGAAGTAACCTACCGGAGGTCACCCAGAGCTTCTAGGTGGCAGAACTGGGACTCCAACCCAGGGCTTCCTGACCCCAGAGCTCACCTCAGAGAAGTGAAGGACCCCTGGGTCAGGGTCCCCAAAGTGGGACCCTCATATACTGCCTTTGTAAAACAGGGACCAAACAGTACTGTCTCCATTATTATGGTCGGTGTGATGAAATTAGTGACTATTACCTGTGCTAAGCACTTTATGGGTATAATCCCTCTAGCCCCTCAAGCTCTCCTGGAGGCAAAGGTAAGTACATTATTATCCCCATTTGACAGATGTGAAAATCAAGACTCAGAGAGGTTAAGTCACTAGGCCTGAGTCACACAGCCAAAGCTGACCAAGCCAGGACTCACCAGGCAGAGTGGTCATCTCAGGTGGCCATCAAGGGGAGAAGAGTTAAGGCCATGAAAGTGTGTACTGTCAGGAGGCCCAGCCTGATCATACCTATTCTTATTGAATGATCCCTGCTAAGAATGGTAGGACCCGTGGTCAGAGGCTCAGAGCAGCACGCCTCAGACTCCAGCGTGCACGAGGAGCCCCCGGGGATTCAGTCATTCTGGGTGGGGTCTCGGGTGGGGGCGAGGCTATGCCCATCTCACAAGCTCCCAGGGACACCGATGCTTTTGGGTGCATGGACCACATTTTGAGAATGGAGGCTGAGAAGACTGAAGCGAGGCCAGAGCAGTAAGAGATGAGAAACAGAGATGAGACTCAGTGGATGGAGACCAGAGAGCAAGAATAAAGGGGGGGGGGGATGAGGATGAGCAGGGGGAATGCACAGGAGGGGCACGGACAGTTTAAAGGACACCCACTGGAGCCTGGAATCATATGGGTCATTGCCAAATCCACAGAGTAACACGACTGATCACCAATGGGTATGGAAGGTAGTGTGCCAAGTGATCACCTTGTTCCCTCCTCCAAACCACCCCATTTAACAGATGAGGAAACAGGCTTCCAGAGGAAGTGACTCACCAAGTTCACCCAGGTAGGGTGTGGCGGAGCTGGGCCCAAATCCAGGAGCAGCGGTGGGCTCAGGACTCAGCTCCACCCCTCTCCCCCTTTGTCACCCCCATGGAACCCGTGCCCCTCTTGGAACCTGTTTTCCAGCTCTAAACCTCGGGGTTACCACAGCACCCTCCTCACAGGGCTGTTTCAAGGATGAGCTCACTGCCATTAGGCTCTCCAACCCGGAGATTCTACATCTAGTGCAAACCCAGAGACGCATATGCTCATGTGCACAAGAAGGCAGCCTGGGGTGTAAGCTGGTGGGGACGCTGCACATGCCAGGAATCTTTTAATAAATGATGATGCTACAAAGCAGGAGTGCTTTATTTTTAATGAGCTAGAGCTTATGCCTGACAATCCAGAAAGCACCACCACCCATCCTGCTTTATTTTACTCCCTGGCTCTTATCAGCACCTGACATGCACCTTGTTTTACTTATTGATGCTGCTTTTTGCCTCTCTCCTCTGCTAAATGCCAGCTTCCCCAAGGGCAGCAAGTGTCGTTTCGGTCACTGCCATAACCCAGGACGCAGCGTAGGCACCCCGGAAATATAGGTTGAATGAATACGGAAAGGATAAGTGGTTGGGAAAACAAAAAGTAGGTTGGGAATGATGTGCTCATTCCCGGGAAAAATAAATGTGCAAACTATGGTTTGATCAGTGTATGTAGAAAAGTATAAAAAGAGTTGAAGGCTTCTTAACAAACGACACCTGTGCCTCCAGAGGTGTTAATAGGGAAAAGGGCCCGAGGGTGACCTTCACTTTCCTCACTGTCATGTTCTTTATAATAAGTCCAGAATAAGAGAAGCCTACAGGATAAACAACTCGATTTTTTTCTTGCCACGAAAAAAGAGCATTAAAAAAAAGTGGAGAGGAAGGACTCTTAATCTCTGAGATTTAAAAGACATTTTAACCAAATACATTGTGAGCACTTGGTTTGCATCCAGATTCAAATAACCAACTATAGAGAGATATTTTAGAGACAATTAGGGGAATGTGAATATGGACCATGTATTAAGATGTTACAGGGGTGGCCGGTTAGCTCAGTTGGTTAGAGCGCAGTGCTCACAACACCAAGGTTGCCAGTTTGATTCCCAAATGGGTCGATGAGCTGCACCCTCCACAACTAGGTTGAAAACAACTACTCAACTTGGAGCTGATGGGGCCTGGAAAAACACTGTTCCCAAGTAAAAAAAAAGAAGCGAGAATAACAAAGTTTAAAAAAAAATGTTACAAAATTATTAATAGTTTGATAAGGTATGACAGTGGAGTTTTTAAAAATACTTATCTATTGGAGATACATCATAGTGAGGTATGGATGAAATGATACAATATCTGGAATTTGCTTTAAAATATTCCATTACAGAGTGGGAAGTAGGTGTGGGACCAGTAAAACAAAGTTGGCAAATAAAACAAGATTCAATATTGATAATCACTGAAGCTGTGTGATGGGTACATTGGCAGGGTTTATTCATCTATTCTCTCTACCGTTGCATATGCTTGAATATTTCTAAACTAAAAAGTTTTTTTAATAGACACAAAAATAAACAAATAAAACAAAATGTTAAATGATTTTAAAAAGCCCCACGATGTAGTCGCCCTCATTTCGCAATAACTGCTGCTATTGTCACCACTTACAGAAGAGGACACTGAGGCACAGGGAAGTGCGGCATGTCACCGGGGGATATGCCATGGGTATACATAATCACGATGGGAATGGAAACTAGGTCTTTTTAGTTCCCCTTCCCTTGGCAAGCCCAGGACACTTTTCTATGACACTGGAGGAGGGGAAAGGGTGAGATAAGAAAGGGTAGAGGCCAGAGAGCGAAAGAGAGCAGATGAGAGGTGGGGTGAGGGCAGGGGACAGGACTGACCATGATGGCAGGAACAGTGGAGCCTGAGGAACCTTCTACACTCCTTCTCGTCCCTTCCTGTGGGTTCAGGATGAAGGAATCAGTGAGGATACTAACCAATAAGATGTGGGGGAAGACTGTATTGGGTTCCTGGGTCCTGAAGGAGGAGGGGGCTGGAGGCGTGGACTCCTGGGTCTGAGGGAGAAGGGACTGGGGACCTGCACCCCTGGGTCTGAGGGAGGAGGGGCTGGGGGCATAGGCTGGTCTGAGAGAGGAGGGGGCTGGATCTCCTGACCCTAAGGAGGACGGCCTGGGGTCTCACCCTGGCCTTGAGAAGCCTCTCCCGCTCTGCCATGGCCTGCTGCAGGAGCCGCTCCATGCGGGCGATGTCTGGGTGGAGGGCCCCACAGCTAGGAGGAGGGAACAGTGACCAGGGCAGGTTACAGTAGCCCGGCCTTCTCCCCCCATCTTCCCACCTTCTCCCTGATGTCTCACCTATTCCTGGAGCCACAGTCCAGCAGCTGATAGAGGGAGTGTCTTCCAGAGTCTCCTGCTGGTGGAAGGGCCGAGGCTTCCAGGGGTCCTGGGGGAGAAGGGGTAAGGCTAGGGGGCGGGACTCTCCCTTGTCCAAGCTTCTCCGTTACTGCCCCACAGGCCTCCAAGCTGTGTCACAGGAAGGGTGGTGATGGGGGGGACAGGGGATGGGAGGGTCCTCACCAGTACAATGGAGGGACAGAGGTCGCGGAGATCCCCTCTGGCTCAATCTCTCTCCCCTTTTCCGGGACAGGCTTCCAGTCCTCTGGAGGCCAATGGAGCCCTGAAAACACACAAGATATTCAATCTCAACTGAAAGTCAGAGAACTGACACGTAAAACCACCATCTAATTGGTGCAAATCAAAAAGCTATTATCAACATGATGCAGAGGTAGAGGAGCCAGTCATAGAAGACCTCACGATGTAATGTCCAGAATGGGCAAATCTGTAGACAGGAAGTAGAGGCAGTTGCCAGGGGCTGGGGAAGAGGGAGAATTCAGGTGACAGGGGTTTTTTTGGGAAGGATAATGAATATGCTCTAAAATTGTGGTGATGGTTGCACAACTCTGTGAATAACTAAAAGCCACTGAATTGTACACTTCAAACGGGTGAATTGTGCAGTATGTAAATTATAAACTTTTTTTTAAAGCACAGTATATGGTAGGGATATGGGAAACCCAGACAGTCTCTTGCAAAGCTGGGGGGGTGGTTGCATATTAGAACAACTTTTACAGGGGCCAACTTGGCTCTTTCTTTTTTTAAATGATAAATGCAGAAACTTTTGTGCCCTGATTCCACCTGTAGGACTGTACCCTATAGATACACTCATATCTGTGCAAAATGACCTGAGTTCAAGGTTGTTTCCCGCAGAAGCCTGGGGACCATCTAAGTGCCCATCAGAAGACAGCAAATGAACCAGGGATCATCTACACAGTGGAAAGTTCTATGGAAAGTTCCATAGCATACGTGTATACAGTAAAAAGGGGAGGATGTTTTTTATATCCAGGGGGAAAATAATCTCTAGGATAAAAGCAAGTACAGAGCAGTACATAAAAAGAAGGGAGAGGGACTGGCCAAGTGCCTCAGTTGGTCAGAGCGTGAGCTCTAACATGGGCCAGTGTGAGCTGCACCCGAGCTGAGCTGCCGCTGAGCTGGTGAGAGCACGTGCTCTTAACAACAAGGTTGCCAGTTCGATTCCCGCAAGGGATGGTGGGCTGCACCTCCCTGAACTAGATTGAAAAGCAGCGACTGGATTTAAGAACTGAGCTTGCGCCCTCCATAACTAAGATTGAAAGACAACAACTTGACTTGGAGCTGATGGGTCCTGAAAAAACACAATGTTCCCCATCCCCAATTCCCCAACACTGTTCCCCTCCAAAATACCCCAATAGAAACCTTAAAAAAAATAAAAAAAAAAGGGAGAGTATGTACATGACAAAATGTATAAACACAGAGTATGTCTAGGAAGATACAAGAAGCTGGTTACCCTGGCCACCCCCAGCAGATGAACTCAATGGGTGGAAATAATGGTGGAAGTCTTTTCTCGGAACATCCTCCCATGCCCTTTGAACTTTGAATGAGGGGAATGTTAGCTTTTTAAAAAATAAACATGGCAACCAAATGCAACCTGTGTTCCTGAATCAGAAATGTTTTGTTTTTGTTTTTGCTAGAAAAAAACATTAGTGGAACAACTGACAAAATATGAAGATGATCTGTGGATTTTAATAGTATTGTCTCAATGTTAGTTTCCTGAATTTGGTCACTGTACTATGGTTATGTAAGAGAATGGCCTTGACCTTAGGTAATAAATGTAGAAGTATTTAGGGGTAAAAAGGAATCATGCTTCAGAAAAGAATAATAAATTGTGTGTGTGTGTGTGTGTGTGTGTGTGTACAGAGACAAAGACAGAGAAAAACAATAAAGCAAAAGTCAAAATGAGGTAAAATGTTAATTATAGAATCTGATTGACAGCTATACAGGATTTCTTTCTACTATTTCTACATTTTTTCTGTAAGTCTTAAATTATTTCAAAATAAAAAGCTGCCCAAAAATGAAAATAAACTGATTTGAAAGTAATAGAGAAATAAAATTTAAATCATTTTTAAAAGAAAAACAGCAACAGCTCTGCATGGATCATACAAAATAATTTTTACAAAGTTACATGACTTGAGCACCAATAAGGATACTCCCTGCCATAGATTATAACTCATTAAATATATTTAGTTCATGAGTTAATAATAACAGTAAAGGAAAAATCGACTTGGTTACCTTGGGAGGATGAAACAGAACCAACTTGATTTTGAAGGCAGGTAAATAAAGTGAAACCAACAAGCATTTTCCCTGCATTTCATACAAAAACTATACCCCTAAGTAACAAAATAGTAAATGAAGGCAAGTCCCTCTTTATAGAAATATTTCAATCAGTAAATGAAGAATGAATGACAGATTGGAATTCTACCATTTGCAACCTCTAATGTAACAACGGATCTAGGCGCTGATGCCACTAAGAGACACAGACACACCGCCCCAAGATTTGCAAAATGCTGAACCTGCACGTGCTCAGGCCCCCACATCCAGTATTACAGGAAATAGAGGCCGAGCAAGATGACAATGACCCCCGTGATGCAACCAGCAAACCCTGCCTGGGAAACTACAGAACTACCATCTGGTTTCTTGGTCAAATAAATAAATAAAAAAGAAACGGAGGGGAAGTCTTTAGACTAAAGGAGACTTAAAACATATAGCCACACACACAACTAAACTATAGTGTTTATGGATAGATACTTAACTGACAGGCTAGTGGTTATTCTCGAGGGATGGGGGAGACAGATAGGGTGGTCACTGAGGGGGACAGGGAGTGGGTTCCTGGAGCAGCTGCCAGTTCTATCTCCTAACACTGGTGGCAGTTATTGGAGTGTTCCCATATAATCATTAAGTTGTGCATGTATTTGATGTTATTTTCTATACTTGTTATTTTTAATATAAGCTTTAAAAAAGAATAACCAATATTCATCAAGTGCTCATTATGTGCCTAACAGTGTACCTGGCACTCTGCAGGCCTATTTAAGCTTTTGAAAATACTGGGAATTGGGAAAGGTTTGCCCCTGCTGTCGCCACAACAGGGAGGAAACCAAGTCCCGAGTTCCTGTTCTTTCCTTCCTTCAGCCGATATTCCCAGCACTTCCTACTGAGAGACCTTAGATACTTGGCACTGAGGAAACAATGGGCAAGAGGGACCCAAACCTGGTGCTTACGCTGTAGGAACTGAATAAGCCATCATACAAATAAATGTTATCATCAGAAATTGCTGGAAGCAAAGACAATAGGGTGTTATAAAAGAGGATCACCTTCCAACTAGAAGACCAAGGTCAGCCTTCTGGGCACTGACCCTAAGGCCCAAGGATAAGAGTTGGTCAGGGAAGACTGAGGTAAAGAATGTTCCAGGTAGAAGGATCGGCAAGTGCAAAGGCCCTGAGGCAGGAACAAGTGTGGAGTGTTGGTAGGTCAGCGCTCCTGCAGCCGAGCAGAGTATGGGGGAGAAAGCTGAGAGGTGGGCAGGGACCAGATCATTCAGGGGCTGGTGGGCCATGGTGAGGAGGCCCAGAACCACTGAAGGGTTTTGGTGGGGACAACTGAAGTAGGAGGGATCAACATCACTCTGGCAGTTGTGTTGGGAACAGATTGTTGGGAGACAAAAAGTAAGAAGGGGACATCAGTAAGGAAGCTGGTATAGGGTCACAAAAGCCAGAGATGCGGATGGGAATGGATGGAAGAAGGATGATAATAATTCTGATAATACTAATAATTGTAATTATAATCAGAGTACCAGCAGCTCACATTCACTGAGCACCTACTATGTGCCAGGCACCGTGCTAAGCACCTTAACTATTAACTTGTGGGTGCTGTTATTATTCCCATTTTGCAGCTAAGTAAACTGAGGCACAGAGACATGTCTAAGTTCAGCCAGCTGGGAAGTGGCAGGACAAGGATTTGAGCCCAAGCAGAGTCAGTCCTCTTAGGATCAACACATGATCCCAGAAAGGAGGAGTGCATTTGAGGATTTACTAGGACTTGGAGGGAGAGAGAGGGGGCAAGAAGGAGTAATCTGTTGATTCATGCATTCATTTATCTACTTGTGTATTTTTATCCGGCCGAGTAAATAAATACTCCCCAGACTGACTCTCCTGTGCCCTGCAGTCCCCAATCGCTCCCTCTAAACCAGTACTAAGCAAGGTGCCCACATGGATTCTGAAGGATTCCTAGAAACCCTCATCTCCTGAAAGGCACAGGCCGTGGAAATAGGCAGACTTCATTCACACCTAGCTCTGCCACTTACTGAGTGTGTGACTTTGGCAAGTCATGTTCTCTTCTCAGGCTAGGCTTCCCTTCTGTAAAGGGGGCAACGGCCACCACCCTGCCGTGGATGATGCAAGGATTCAATGAGTGACCTTGTGCAAAGCACACAGAAGAGTGCCTGGCCCAGCCCCCAGGTGACACCCAAGTGCAAGGTGGGTGTGAGATCCACATCAGGGGGTACAGGGTCCATGTGGCCTTAGATGCTCCATGTCCACAGGAGCCAATAACTCAGGTAACAACTCCATAGGAATGGACACGGCTTCCTACCAAATATTTATAGATATGCAATTTAATTATAAGGGTCATATTTACTGTAAGTCAGGTTGCCTGGCAACCCAGCTGACAATGCACCTTTATCAGGCTTCCAGGGAAACCAGCTAGAGCGTTAATTTGCCAGACAGAAGGTCTGCTCACCCTTTACCCAGATAATAATATGACCTATCTGTGGGTGTTCTTTTGAGCAAAAAAATAAAATGATATATTTTCATTAGATATTCATAAATTATACAATAATTTCATGAACATATACACATGGATATATATAAAATTTCATGAATTATGTGTATATTTTATATTAGGCTGAATCATGTCAAGTTGCCAGTGTTTGACTATTTTTCACTTCCAAATAATAGCAATTCCATAAGGTTCAAAGTGATAAAAAGGCTTTGAGCAGACCCTGGCTTACATGAAGTTCTCAAAAATAATGATGATGATTATTAATATTAATATTAATTAATAAGTAAGAAAGAATACAATACATTGCATATTATATTACATTATGTGATATATGTTAGACAATATAATAGTAATAATTAATATTTAATTAATATTAAATATTAAATAATATATAATATATTATTGTGTGTACAAAGGCATAAACACGCACACACATAACAGCAATGCTTAAACTGCAAAAAACTCAAATCGTCATCCACAGAGGGTGGACTGGCTCAAGGCCCCCACGCAGACCAGTGTCCACACAGAAGCCCAGAGTGGTTGAGAGCACAGGCTCTGAAGAGTGCTGGGGTTCAAATCCCAGTTCTGCCACATACGAGCTAGTTAAGTAACTTTTCCTCTCTGCCTCAGTTTCTTCACCCATAAAATGGAGAAAAGAACCTACCTCATAGAGTTGTTGCAAGACTAAATGAGTGAATCAAGCGAAACATTTAAAACAGTACCTGGCACACT